GAACCCACGGCTACACCGCTGTCAGTGACACAGAGTTTGGTGGCTCAGGCCAAGGCCATGGCAGCTGCTCCCCCTGGCTCCAGCCTCCTGGGATTCAGCAGCCAGKAGCTCTGCCTTTTCTCTGACTCTATGAAATCTCAGTTTCAACTTTCTGTAATCCATTTTTGTATAATTAAGAGTGTGCCTGTTCACCACATTTACCCTTCAGTATTGAGCAGTTCCATCAATGGACGGCATATCCAAACCCAATGCTGAGAGTAGTTTCTCATTCCTCAAAATATATGGCATTAATTTGAGAAAAATTTCACTTTTTTTCTTTTTTCTATCTCACGGATGATGCATTCTGTAACCTGAGGTTTGCAAAAAATACAGAGAAAGCATTTACTTGTATTCGAAATTACATTTCCTTGTATAGAAAGAAAATGTTTCAAAACTTCCCCAGWACTTTCAATCCCACTTGAACTATTTGAAAAAAAAGAATCAATCTCTTCCAGTCAATTTAGCAAGTAAAATCTAGTCTTAGAATTCTCAAAAGCACCTATAATCTCTCACTTAATTGCAGCTAGATAGTTTTAGTAGATGCTCTGCTTTGTCTAGGAATTTTATGTGAAAAACATGCTSTTTTGGAGTCTCTGTATTTGTAACTCCACTTTGAAAATGTGTATCTAMAAGATTTTTCTGAAGATATTGGCTAACTAGAAAGCAAAGAGATCACCTTCTCTAGTTAAAAAAGAAAAACAAATAAATTAGTTTTCAGTCTTCCTTTTTATAAAGGTTTGAATACAAGGACACTCATCATCTGRATAAAAGTGTCATGTCAATTTGATGAGAATTTATAGAATTTCAAGCTTTTCCATACTTGCAATATAATCTGTTGTTTGTCATTGGGGGAAGACTCAACTAGAATTTGAAACTTCAAACACTGTTTTGCTCAAAAGCAGTAATATATTTATAGTTATTAAAGTTACTAATATACACTTAATAGTGGATCGGCTTCTCATGGGAAAGCTACAGATGCTTTCAGTCTCACAGAAATGTATCCAAAAAGACAACATGAAAGTAAATAATCCTATAAAGTCTCATTTAGGTTGGTGATTTTTTCCCCCCCCTTTTTATCTAGCATGTCTCCCTGTTTCCACCTTTATTGCTCTCCAAAGGGATTCAGATTCCCTTTGAATCTAATTTGAATTTCAGARGCTCCTAGGAGTTTGGAGTTGAAACCATGGAATATGTTATTTTGTTGAGTGGGGCAATTAATTGCAGTCTACTTACAATGGCCTTTTGTTCTTAATTCACTCAGGGGTTAATGGAAGCTCCTTCTAAAATGCTTTTCTTGTCCACAGCTGCTTGTCAGAGACAAGTCCTTTGTCCATTAAAGTCACACTAAGAATTCAGCAGGACATGAAAGGGATTTGGTGAAATTAGGAGGCAAATTATCCTTCTGGTTATGAAAGTGGGGAAGGACAGTCTGAACAGATACTGCCAGTATTCTGGGTGAAACTGATCCCATTTGGCCAGTTAAATTTTGTACTCTGTGTTGCTCATGGTAGATAGCAGTGGTTAAAAGCTTTGAGGGAAGCTTTATAATAAACTTATAAGTTTAAATCAAGCAATTTGTTAATTTTCACAATCAAACCCAAGCATTGGTTGAAGTGGGAAATGAACCAGTTCAAGGAACTTCATTCCCCTCAGCAGAAACAGAGGGAGGGATGAGCTGCACAAGACTGAAGGTGTGAGGAATGAGCAAGGTACGGAGGCTGCCTGTGCAGTTGCAGTGTGCATGTCCTGTTCCCATCCCATCCCATGCAGGCAGAGGCAGCTCCTGAGGCAGAGAAAAGGCAGCAGACCGTGCTGTGATGTGGCTGATTCCCTGAGGTTTCTCTGTGAGCAAGGCAGCCTGGCCAGGCTTTATGCTGCCTCTTGAGTGGAAAGGGGAGCTTGGAAGTGAAAACATGCCAGGGATCTACTGCAGTGGGGCCAGACATTYCTGCCCTTCACAGGAGGAGAGCTCTGTGGTATGCAGGGATACGCACTGGCATTCTGGTGACCGTGTTCTCCTCCCCCAGCACAGTGCCCAAAATTAAGGTTTCCTTGGTTTTTTGCCTAGCAACAGAAWTTTTCATTTTTGCTTTTATTATAATTATTTAAAGAAAGAAATAATACTTTTCTGACACAAACCTCTTGGGAATTACATCAACCATATGAAATATAAATACGTTTCCTCTCCCGTTGTATAAATAATGGATTAGGTTTTCACTGGAGAAGCTGAGAGTAGGATTTAAGGACAACTTGTGTAACTCACAAAGTAGGCTGTGGTGTACAGCAGCAGACTGTTATAAAACATGACACAGTAGGAAATGTGATTAATGTGTGATGGAAACCCCTTGGTAGATCAGGTCACTAAAGTATGGATCCTACCCTTGGTTTCTATTATGTTCAGTGAGCATCTGGACAGAAACAAACTGCTACCTGTTGTAGTATTATTTTATCCAGTTATGAGGGAGATTCAATCATGCAATTAATCATACAATAACTTTTCTGTTGTTTATGGAAGAAGAGCATTTGATGGTTTTTTAGGATGAAAACCAAGAATTTGAGTGTAAAAGTGAAGTACCATCCTTCCTTCAAGGGAGACATAAGTCTGATTTAGGGAGAACACCCAAAGCTGAGTGTGAACTCAGTGTCCCCATCCCAATTAGCAGCAGATGAGGAGCCCTCTGCAGAGCAGCAGCCTCTGTAGGAGCTGTGGGATGCTCACAGAATGCTGCCTGTTTCCTGGGGCCAGCCAAGCAAAACTGCCTGCTTGGCATGTGCTCCACTGGGCTGGTGTTTTGTCACCATTGCAAGACATCACTTTTGTAGAGAAGTAAATAAAAAGTGACTGCCAAATCCCCTAGCATGAGTTTTCTAAATCTGGTGTATCCAGACTCCTGATTCTGAATTGCATTAAGACCTCCCAGGAATTATAACCTGAAACAATTCAAGCTTCTGTTGATGCATAAACAGGCATGTTTATGAAAACAGAGTAGCTTGGATCTGTTTGTCCCTATTTTGACTGGTGATGAGCTAATTTTATTTAAAAACTTGAGTCTTTGCTCCTTGGTGCATGAAAGGGCAGAGTGAACTCAGTGGAGCTGAGATTTCCTGAATTGTAATTTTAGCCTTGACTAGTTTAGGGAAGCACACTAGGTTGGTCTGAAGTTGCCGTGACTTTTTTCCAGTTTTCTGAGCCAGAATTTTTTCATTATATTAATGCAGGGAACATTTACAAAGTTGTAGGACTCTGCAACCTGTAATTGATATTTCCTGTGATTTTTGTTCCTTTTATTTAGTTTGACAAGGTTTATTAGTCAAGATTTGAGGAAAAATTTATCAGCTTTCTTTTCTTTTCTTTAGCTGAACTCTGTCAACACTGCATTTGTTGTTTACATATTTACCATTTGAAAACTGATACTACAGCAAATTATCTAAAAGTAAAATATATTCTCAGTGTGATTTATTTTTAATGAATCATAGAATGGCCTGSGTTSGAAGGGAATGGAAAGATCATCCAGTTCCTACCTCCCTTCCATGAACAGGGGCAACTTCCACTCGACCAGGTCGCTCAAAGCCCCATCCAATCTGGTTTTGAGCACTTCCAGGAATGGGGCATTCACCACTTCTCTGAGCAACCTGTTCAAAGTTGGGAGGGACAGCTTTGTTTTGTGTGTACTGAAAGGAGAAAATAGTTTTGGTAATGGAGCTTTGGTGAACCTTACTTACATGAGAGCAGAACCAAAAATCAACATAATGGGTTTCATAAAGAAAATCTATCTTAAATCAATGTGCTCAGAATATTTAAATACTAATTCTGATAAATAGCTAAGACATTCATTAAATGTGCTCTATATTGTAGGAACTTAGTCACATTGTGAAAAAATATTAAGCTGCTTTAAAAATAAAATTTGTCTGTCAGAGTGTTCACAGGAAAACTGGATTTTCTTTGAGGGATTTRTGTGTATATAATGTATTTCTTATGAAAAATTTAAGGCACTAGGACAGATCTCTCAATTACGTGCAGAAACACTTCGCTTTTTATTTACAAGTTATTTTTATTAAAAAAAGGGATTGTTAAAAAAGGAGCTTTTTTTCTAATTTCTAAAGATAACCCTTTTTCTGACAATCCTGCTTGCCTCCTTTGAAGGGCATGTTGTTCTGCTAAAAAYTGCAAGAATGTCAGAAATTCTGGGGTGTTACTGCTATTGCTCCCTTAAAACACGAGTGATTCTTTGGARTAAAAAACTTTTGAAATAAAACTCAGGGCTTAAGCTCACAAAACTTGTCTCTAGGGTTCTGCCTATGTCACCTTGTCCAAATCATTAAATACTCATCCTGGGAGATGCATTTGAGGGCACTGCACRGGTGATGGGACCTGTGCTGTTTGTATTTCACCTTCTCTGTTCTAAGTGGACCAGCAGCAATTGAGCCATCAGAGGAATTTGGGCTGCTCTTTTACACAAGCCTCTGAAGACAAAATTATTCCCACTTTCAAAARGACAGAGCCATGAACTGTTTCTCTAAGCTTTGTTTGAAGGAACCAAAGCTTTCAATAATGAAGAATCTAGGCAGTCCCATTTATGGTAGAAATCCCTGTTTTGTTCATCCAAGTGGTTTGGGGTTTTKTTAGGCTGCTTCACTTTGAAATTTGGGCCATCTGAAGGAAATTTGTGTGTTGTTTACAGGTGTTGCAGCCTCTTACAAACCCAGGGACAGGGCCCAGCGGGTTCAGAGTMTAAGGCATAGATCAACCCATTGCTATTAACTCCATGGAGCAGATGACGAGAGAATAGCTCAGAGAGGATTGTATGACCTACATTTCCATTGAATTTCTCACCATGTTTGCTGTGTCACATGCTTAACCTGGTTAGCCTGTTTTTAACTGTTCTGTTYCTGCAGTTCTTTTAGAACGTGTAATGTAATACGTGTAACCTCTTAAACATCTCAAGTTGTTTGTAATTTAGGCTTTGGAAACATCTCCCCACGCACACAAGGTGGAAAGATATTCTGTATCATCTATGCCTTACTGGGAATTCCTCTGTTTGGTTTTCTCTTGGCTGGTGTTGGAGATCAACTTGGGACAATCTTTGGAAAAGGAATTGCCAAAGTAGAAGATACCTTTGTTGTGAGTATGCTGAYTGCCTCGTCTGGTTGTTTTGCTGCTTGTTCTGAATTTCACGAGGGAAATGAAAAGCCTGGAAAGCTACAGCTCATTGTTGCAATCAGATGAACAGGAAAAGGTAGGAAGGACTTGGCACAGTCTGAACTTGCTGCTGAATATCTCCGAGAATTGGGTGAAGACACATCCCCTAAACTGATTATGGTTGGGAAGAGGAATGAGATCCAAAGAATTTTATTTTTGTTCTGCCCTTGTTACTCGTAAGTTTTCTGTGATGCTCATCCTGAAAGGTTATATAGATTGTGGTAAGAAACGTATTCCCTGAGTTTTCTGAAGCAGTGAATGCTTAATAACCAACTTTGTGGCTGTTCACATCAGTACTGGAAGTATTAGGACTGATTTTCCACATCAAGCTGTACCCTTGCAAGCAGGATACATTTTCTGTATGGAAAGGGTCTAACATGACTTTATTTTTGATGCAAAGCAAAGGGGGCCTGTGCTGAGTAGTCTTATGCAAGAGGCAAACATRAGCCTGAAATCTTTTTTAGAAAAGGCATTTTTGGCTTTGAAACATTGGTTCATGTCCAGACAAGATACTGGTGAATAACAGAGATTTCAATTGAGATTTGTCAACAAAAGGCAAGGACATTCCATAAGAACATTTTATAATTTCTGTGTTTTCGCAATTGATTTTTTTCTTCTTAAAATGATCATCTGAGATCAATTTGTGTCTCTTTTTTGCTCATAGGAATAATGGTTTTCCTTTTTAATAATGGATGTATCCATACAACAAGAATGCCCCAATGTCAAAAGCAGTGTCTTCCCCTCTTTTGACAATATCTGAGTGAAAACAATGATCTACATTTYGCAGTCTGGAACACTCCTGAATTCTGTTTATTAGTTTGCCTAAAGAAYTGGGAGATGCTGATAGATCAGAGCAGGGAATTTTATGTTGCCACAACACAATCTGTTACTCTAATTTAGGTTACAAAAGCTTGACCTTGGTCATACTGACTGTAAACACAGTTTCCACTGAAAGTTAAAGAAAACATCCATTGTGAACAACATAATTTTATTTTCAGTTGATTTCTGTGAAATTTTCTTGTACAATCCCTCCTTTTAGGTTGAACCAACATGGATTACATGGATGAAAAATGTCAAATTGGCTGGGCATGTAAAATGGGACTTTGCAAGGGTCTGTTCTAGCTTTAGTACAGTTTAGAAAAAAAATGTTATTAGCATACACAACAGCTAAATGATGTGGCTCATTAAATCTGCAGATGGTGTCAAGCTGGGGAGACAACTAAAAGTTGGAGGAACAAAATGATGTTAAAATTTTTGAAAAACAGTCTGACTAGATAGGATTGAATTCAGGCAGGACAAATTCAAATTAATATATGAAGAAATAATAAAATATGCAACTACATGTCAGGAAACAGCTGTCTAGGTACAATTTTATAGAAATGTTCTATGAGCTCTTGATGTTAACGTGCTAACATGGGTCAAGGTCCCAGTGTTATGGGAATGCATTCATCACAGGTAAAACTGTAAATAGGCAAAGCATAAGAAAGGATCCTTCCATTCTGTTTTGTGCTATTTATTCATGTCTAGTTTTGAGTACARCACTTAGTGAAACATGGGCTARTTTGCTGGTGCCAAKGGATAGCAAGAAARATAGGAAKGGGGAAGAAAAGGAAATTAATATATTTGGTTTAAAGAACATGTGACTCAAAAACACCTGTGAAAGTTTGCTGGAAGGAGAAAATYAGCAATTTCTTTATTTGTCTTGGATAAGACCATAAATAGTACACTTAAAATGAAGGACTAGAGATGTAGGTTAAGCATTAGGAAAACTCCCAGATCACAAGAGCGTGATCACATGTAGCCTGGCCAGTAATGTGCTTGCAGTGGCTTCGGTGGGGTTGTCTTTGGGAAGGTCTGGAAAAAGGTGATCTCTTTCATCCCTCCCARCCCTGTTGTGTAGGATTTTATTTAGCTGATTATTTTATTACAGAAACTGTGTGGTTAAAATTCACCTTATTTATCTGGTTATTTTTCCAAAATTAGAGAAATCGCACGTGCCTGCACAACTTGCAACTCACTTGAATATCTGGACTCCCCTCAAAACTTCTATCATCAGCTGTTAGAATGCTATACATGCTACTCACCCAGRACATCCCCATGAAGAGTCCAGCCCTGCCCTGCATTTACTGCTGCCAAATGTTTCCTAGAATAGTCATGTTTGCTTGGAAACCCTTTCAGGATAAAATTCTGCTTGAACTTTCCTGTTTGTTTGGGAATTGTAATGCACTGTGCTCTAGAGCTATGTAGTGCACACCAGGGGTGATGGGTGCTTGTGTTCACTGGTGCAGTTTTATTAACAATGGGTTTCTTCTCTTTCCCCTTCCCTTTCCAGAAATGGAATGTGAGTCAGACAAAGATTCGCATCATTTCAACAATAATATTCATACTGTTTGGCTGCGTGCTGTTTGTTGCTCTTCCTGCAGTTATATTCAAGCACATAGAAGGCTGGAACACACTAGATGCAATTTACTTTGTGGTTATCACTTTAACTACCATTGGATTCGGTGACTATGTTGCAGGTAAAWTTTTTTAAATAACTCTTTATCTTACAATATTTTGCACAGTGATGTTTATTTTGCTTTTTTTTTTCTTATTTCTGGGACGCATAYGTCTCTCTTGTGGTGCCTCTCTCCCAGTTTTATCCTTCGTCATTCATGTGTTGGCGCTTGTCCTCGTTTTGGTTGATGTGACAGTGTAGAGATAGGAGGAGGGACAGTAAACCCATGGTGCATGTCTGCTTACTGTTTTTTATCTTCCTAGACTATTAAAAATTAAGTAAAGTATCATTTAGGTAGGGATTTTGTTTTATTTTTCTTACAGGTTGTGAAGTGCAAGCACTAACAGAGCATTTTAATCTGAATATTTCTTTTCAGCTGGAGCTCTTTTAAAAGCCTCACCCTGTGAAGTTATATAACAAGTTTTGCATGCATCCCTTACCTTTCAAAATGTTCCAGAGCTCTCTTTCTGCCATTGAAATGTCTGTATGTCTGCTGGATCCTTCTTCTGTGATTCTTTGTTACTCAGTGCAGTTTGCCCATGTGTTTTTTGTAACGTCRGGAAAAGTTTTAGCACTACCTGTAGACAATGTGTCCAACTTTTATGGTTCTATTAAGCTGAATTGGTTGCAAATAACTTTGACATACTGAGCTAAAAAAAGCTTGGGCCAGTTCTCTGTGTCAGCCTTTTTCTTGAAAAGGCATTAGAGGTGTTTTTGTCTTGAAGGCAGTAATGGGATTGGTCTTGTCACTGGCCAAAATTTTTCAGGCTTGTGAGGTCCAACAAAGACCTCTAAAATATCATAACTGTGTGACATATTTGTAAAAGATTTGGGTAAAATGGGGGTAAATTTAGTTGTTGCTGAAGATACTAAGCTATGCAAGTAGTCTGAAAATTAAGGTTGCCTGAAAGCTGCCAAAGATTCTTGTAAATTATAGAACTGAGCTGTAAAATAGCAAATCAAGTTTGTTTTTACATAGTTATTTATGATGTTTCCAAATGTCTTTCTRTGTGTCTTGACTTCTGCCTTTCCCTTTTCTTTCCCATATTCTTTTGCTTATTTTCATTTTGTCTTCAGAATTTGGGATTCTGGTCAGACACTAACTAGCGCGAAATAAAAAATTTATGCTGTTTCYAAGTCAAGAGTCTGGGTGTTTTAGACTTTCGTTCCTGAAGGGTACGTGTACGACAGGGAATAAAAATGACAGTGTATAAAGGCCTGGTTATATTTACTGTAAAGCATTATGTGAAATGGCCCACTTGGCTCTAACTAGAACACTGAGTACATTCATCATTATTCCCATTATAAATTTTCATAGACTTTTCTATTTGTAGACCATTTGATACCATAATTTTTTTCCTACATCATCTGCTTTTTAATTTTACCAGGAAATACTTTCTCTTGCTGCAGAATGTCCTTGAATTATATTGTTCTATAGCTGATGGCCTTTTATGGTTCACTTGATAGAGGTTCTTTATTTAATTTAAAATCCTGCTGTAAATCCATTATTTCAAAGCATCAGAAATGTTTTCTAGTTTCTTTGAGTAACGTGCATAAGGCTTGTATTTTAAGTGCAATATGTTATTGACTTGAAGTTTGAGTATGTGGGAATGGGATTTGTACTTGCAGAGACAATGCTCAAGAGAACAGAGTGAGATGGCTGTCTCCATCAGAACTGGGACATTAAAATTCCCCCAGGACTATGTCTTGTAACAGATGAAGTTGATAATATTATCACCTGTGGATGATCTAAAATACTGTGGTTCTGGCGGGTGACTTAAAGGATTTCTCAAAAATGTCCATTTGTTTTCTTTGCAGTACATAATTGGCTGGTTGAATAAAAATTCTGAAAAATAGATAAGGTATTCATTGACTATGCTTTGCATTGTGGAAGTTTACAGCCATTAGTGTTTATGTAGGTACAGAACTATTTGAAGAAAACTGGCATTGCAAGTTCTCAATGGAGCTGATAGAATTTGTCCTCAGAGCCAGGCTTCCCTATTAATTTTGAGGAAGTGTGCAGASGTTTTTGCACCTTAAAAAAAAATAATTTTCTTCATGATTTTTTGGTTTGCTTKTTTTTCTTTTAGGTAAGTCATAACTACTGAGCAGACACTCAGGGCCACTTTTGATACTTTTGTGGCAGGCTGTCTGGAGAATTCTCCTTGAAGTTTAGGAAATCTGAGTGTCACAAATGGGACAAACATGAAGAGTTAAGGCATGCAATGTTATATAAGGCAGTAAAAGAGTTGGGCATGACAGAATATTGGAGTTCTAGATCATGCTGGTCTTGTTTCTGATATGCCATGGCGAGGCAAAAAGCAGCAGACAGAATGTTGCTTAGTGCTTAGATGCAATGCATTTTTAAAAACCCCTCACACTGGCATTAATTTATTCATTTTTCTGAGATTTTTCCCCTTAAATAATATTTACAGTGAAAATTGCCTTCTTCCATTTAGCATTATAGTGAAATCTAAAGCATAATGGTGGGCAGTGGTACTCTGATTTGCAATTTTCTTAAAGTGTACTTTTAGCAATAGAATTCAAATTGGTAATTCTTTTAGCCCTCTGGAGACCCATGTGATAATCCACAAGCATGGGTCAGTTTTGGGCCATAAAGTTCCCTCAACACCCCCAAGTTCYGGTCTGTTTGAAAACTTTCAAGTCTTTTTTTTTTCTGGGGACTGTCATCTCAGAGAAAAAAAAACCCTGTAAGTTTACAAGCCCTACATACAAAACCCATGGTTGTGTTAAGATATGTGTTGTCATGTAGGGAAACACTTACAACACCTGTCATTTTTTCACTGTTATGAAATTTGCTGCTTTCTTGTGCCACTGCAAGTAAGAGTGGGAAAAAAAAAAACTTCTGAAGAACTTTCAGAAGATAAAGGACAGAGAGTTCGTTGATAGCTGTGCCAAAAGGGAGCCAACAGAACAACCTGGGATTCAGGAACAYGATGTATCATTGGCTATAGTACAGGTTGTTGTATTAGAAATTCTTTTAGTTCTCCAGAATTTTTTTAGAACTCTGTTCTTATTTGTACTGGAGACCATGTACTCTATTCCCAGGCACCAGGGTGCCAAAACATTCACTTTGGTAGTCAGAGTCAGTTGTTATTTGGAGCCTGTGGAAATTTCAGCTGGGRTTTCCATCAGCAAGAGAAGCCTTAAGGCAAACATAAAAGACTGATCACTCCTGGTGTATGCAAGGAAGGAAAAGATGAAGACTCCCTGTAATGCATGTTCAAGAAAATATATGAACTGTATTCGCAAAAACTGGACTGCTTTTCTGTCTTAAGAAATTACTTGATTTTTCTAATTCTGGAGTTGTTGTTTTTTTTTTGTTTTGTTTTGTTTTTGTATGGAGGGAAACTTTTTTTATTTGAAGAAAGATTATTGTAGCTTTTCACAAAAAGAAAAAAAGGAAGAAAAGCTGTACTACAGTCTGCACTGCCTTATGAATACCAGAACATGGCCAAACATCCCTTTTCYTGTTTTCAAGAGAAAACATTGACTTTAACAGGACAGAAGAAAACCCAGCCATATTAATATCTTGGGAAAGAGAAAAAGAAAYCTTCTCATGTTAAATGTGTCATGATTTCAGTACAATGAAAGATATTGGGTGGTGAGGTTAGCATTGAGACACATGAATAAGTGTATATTTGACAATATTTTGTTCACATGTACAGATAAATCCTTTAACTTGCAGCWCAGTTTGGAAGGTATAGTCAAATATTATTAATGGCATTAATCTAGGAGGTTTCAGATCTAAATTAGATGACATGTCCAAAACTTGACTGAATTAAGTAGAAGGCAAAGGGAAAAAAAAAAAAAAAAAAAAAAAAAAAAAAAAAAAAAAAAAAAAAAAAAAAAAAAAAAGAAAAAAAAAAAAAAAAAAAAAAAAAAAGAGTGTATCAGTAGTCTGTTTCACAGTGGAGCAAAATGATGATACATGTCTCAGCTGGTCCAGTGAAACCAGTCACAGAATTTTCTAAGTCTTATTTTAAGAAGGTATTCCAACTCTTTTATTACTTTTGTGGGGGGCTGTGTTATGTTCAAKCTCTGATTTTTAACTCACTGCTTTTTTGCTGTTTCATTATGGAGTCGWCTGTGATGTGTTGCCACTCTAATACAGATTGGCTCTGCACTGTGTTTTGTGGCCAGAGACCTGGTTTGTAGAGAGCTGAGATGTTTTAGTCTCATTAAATGTCACCAGACTGGGGCACTTGACCCGGTGGCCATAGCAGCCCAGCTGATGTGCTGTTGCTGTGCGATCCCACGCACCAGCAGAGAGAAATCTGTCTTGCTGAGCCAGGGGTGTGTCCAGCATCCTGGAGGAAAGCTGTGTGCTCTCCCACAGGCTCCATGTGTTTTTTTGGCATTTGGAAGTGTTCTTTGCCCCCTCGTGTCTGCAGCAGGGGCTCTCTGGTGTGACCCACGCTTTCAGCTGCAGTCAGAACGCTGTCTTGCCTGATGTCAGTGTAGGACAGCGTGTGAGGAGCGTTTYAGATCTGTGCTCTGTGTTCTGAAGTAGCTTTCCATTTCTCACTGAGTGGCATCAAGTGGCTCATATGGCCCACTTACCTTCCATCTCTGACAGTGCAACACTGCCTTGTCCYGAACCCTCTGCGCACCCACATCTCCACACAAGCTGGTCTTTCTCTGTCCCTTTCTTTTGCAGTCCTCAGAGGTAATTACTTTCAAGCTGCAGGGCTCAAATGAGGGAAAAATGACATTTCTGGACTAAGCATGTTCATCAAGTCACAACAGGGATGGCGGACATGGTCATTCTGCAATTAAAATTGAATTAAGTCATATTTTTCTATTCAGAGTAATTTGTACTGCTGATAAAAAAAAAAATAAAAAAAAACAAAAAAACACCTAGATGTTTCCTTGTTTGCAGTGCCAGCTTTTGAATAACCCAGAAATTTTTGCTGGTATGGAATTAAGATACTCAATGTTGACAGCACTTTCTATTCTCTCCTTCTATTTTTGAAGTAAAAATGCAAAGCCAACCAACTTCACAGAAATAATTGCATGTTTCTATTTTGAGATGRTTAGATGTAGAAAGAATGGGGGAGAGGCAACAGTGAAGAAAATTATTTAGTTTAAAGGTATTTGTTTTATGTAAAAAAGCAAAAGAGATATATTTGTAATCCTGATATTTTATCTGAGGGACCGAAACTGTTCTAAAGTACCCCTGAAATATTCTCTAATGACTTTCTTCACTAAAACAGAGTTTTTCCAYCTCAGTGAGGAATATGTTTGGGCCATTGAATCACTTTTTTTCCAAAACATAGTTTGAAAATCCCAAATAAAAATTAGTTAGCAGATGTTAGAGTGGTGGCAGCAACAATACAATAGCCTGTGATGAAGATGGATGGGAAAACTCTTTGATTTCTCATAGATTTCAAGCTACTTTAGGTGAAATCTTTACCACAAAATATCTTGGTGATAAACTGTGGCTTCTCTCAGCAACAGATTACGGAGTGAGACTGATAGATTTCTTATTTATTGTGGTTTTAACCTATTTTGGGTAGAGGTTAAAGAAGGCTGGGAAAAGTTTTGTCCCTCAGCCCATAAAATTGGTTTTGCCAATCAACAAAATTAATCTTCTGCCTTCTCAGCATTTTACTTCCTAGAGGGCTGCATAAACCAATTTTCTTTGCAAAAGGAAGAAGATGGTGTATCACATTGATATGCTTTTTATGGTGTTGCCCATAAAATCCTTGGATTATCTCATATAGTTCAGAACAAGCACATTTAACTATGCACACTCAYACCCAAATTCATTCATACCCATTTAAGTGAATTTGGTAGTTAATTAATTTTTTTAGTTTAAATTCAGTACAGTTGAGTTGTGATTACATTTCCCTATGAAATCCTATTTAATGACATTCCCAGGTAACTGCAYTATGGCAGTTTGAACATCACAGGAGACAGCAGTTATCTCAGGACAAACATCCTCATGTATGTCTCTCTCTCCCTGAGATTTGATTAAATTGCAAAATCACCCAAGGAGTCCTTGAAATTCAGAAACTCAACAGATAATAAAGGTTTTAGTTGTGAAGCCACATCCTAGAGTTTTTTTCTTTGGATACCTTTTGTCCTTTTAACTTTAGGARCACTGAACTCCTTTGGGCATGGCTAGATGGAGCCCTCTCCTGGCCAGACAGCATTGAAAACTTGGTTGAACATGAGTATGTCCTAACGCTGCCCCAGTGATTAACTTTGCTGTAAATAATATAAGTATTAACTGTGAAGGAAATGCTTCCTGCACACTGGAAGCGTTAGGTTCCAGTTTCAGTTTATAAACATAACATCAAAAATTAAAAGCCAACCATGTGAATGCTTTCTATAATGCTTTCTCATGCATTGTATGAGCACTGAAGAAGAGGATGAACCACCAAGTGTGGCCCATTACTAGAGCAAAGACATAGTGGTAATCAAACATTTTGTGGATTACAACAAATTTCTCTAACATACTGTTTTACTGGACTGAAATGAGATGGRTGTTGTTAATAAATCATTTAATGTTTTGTATGCCTTGTGCTGTGACAAACTCAACACTTTGGTGGCTGGATGTCTTCTGCTCCAAACAGAGCCCTGTCTTCTACCTTTGCTTGGGACTACAAAGACATCAAAGTCCATCCACTTTCACAATGTGGATTTATCTCTTGGATAGTTGAGTAAATCTTTGCTGTTCAATGCTATGTAAGAATAACAAAATTTCTATCTGTGAGGGCTTCCATATAAATATAGCCATCAGTAAAATTCTTTGTRATTTGCATGCAGTCTTTGTGATAATACAGCTAAGTAAAAACATTACTCTCCATGAGAGTTGATCTCATTACTGTAACAAGGTGCTTGATATTTTGGGGGCAATTTTCCTTTGATTTGTTTCAGAGTAGGGTGCAGCTACAYTAAAGCAAAGCATTATGTTCCTTCACAGCCTACTTTGATGTGTCTGAGAAGGTTTTACTGCAGAGTCTCAGTTGTGGGCAGATACACACATCAAACTTCTTTCGGCAGCCCAAATGAGAAGTCTGGTTTTATTTGTTGTAACACAGTTGAATTACAAGTTTAAGGCTTCTGTTTTATTGCATGGCAAGATGTGAAAAGTGAGTTATTTGGTGTTGCCAAGAGCTCTGGATGAACATAACTCTTTTGTGTGAAAATAAGACATCTGTTCTTTATAGCTGCATTATACCTGAAAGCTCTATTACAGACACCCCTGAAATTCATCCTCTTTTACTTTAACACTGCAAAGGAGTGACTGCTGCTTAAGGCAGTGGGATCCAAAACTGCTGCCTTCAGCTGACTTCTCTTTCATCCACCTTTTTTTGTTGGGTATTTTCAGTTCAAATCCCTGCACTATGGTTTCCTTCTGCAAAATGGAGAAGATCGTGTTTCCCTACCCACCAGGGATGCTTGCTAATGCAGATGTTAGTCTTCCTTCACTGAGGCTAAAGGTTTTATATAAGTATTGAGATGTTTTGAAGTTCTTGCAAAAACCAGATTTCTCAGGATATGAACATGTTGCATGTTTTGGAATGATACTTAAAATCTGGTACAGCAGCATTATTTGGAGCAGGTGGGAAGTCATTCATTCAAGCTGTCTTCAATGGCCCCTATCTTAAATGATAGTACATCAGAAGTTGAATCAGTTTGTGCTTATTCAATATTTATTATTAGTGGYTAGCAGTCAGTCTAGAGTTTGCATACTTGAGACGTCACTTTCAAGAGTGAACTAAGTTATATGATTTGTTCAAATTCAACAAAATACTTTGCTAGGAATTTCTGCATGGGTCAAAATGCAGAAGGTGTAAGAAATTTACTTTTTTTTTTTCCCTAGGAAAATTACTTTTAAAACATCTTTGCCCTTATAGCTATTAAGTCTGATTTAATTTTAACTGTATTGTTTTTCAGGAGGATCAGATATTGAATACCTAGATTTTTACAAGCCAGTGGTGTGGTTCTGGATCCTTGTTGGGCTTGCTTACTTTGCAGCTGTCCTCAGCATGATCGGAGACTGGCTAAGGGTCATATCAAAAAAGACAAAGGAAGAGGTAAGAATATTTTGAAAGGGGAAGAAATAYTTTTAAAAAACTTTGAATAGAAGCCAGGTGAATTTATAGCTGCTTTTGCTCTAAGGGCACGAAGGTGAAAGCTGTTTATGTATGAACTGTATGCTGCAGCTYAGTATGTAGCCGTCCATTCAAACATACAGTGTTTTATTTTCRCATGTCTGCGTAGAAAATGAGATTAAATGTGTTATTAAATTAAGAGTATATGCATAGCTGCACCTGATTTATTGGGAAAAAAATACCTTAAACTACTGTTCTAGGCAGTAGAATGTCAGCCTTAATTTTTGGAAGCAAAAGTCATTCTGCTCTGTTTCTACACATGCAGGTATACAAATAAAAGTACTAAGTAGTTATATTTGATATACCATGCTTTTTTGTGGTAAGAAAATAAATGTTTTATATCATGCAGGTATTGGAATGAGTTACTTAAGTATCCCTGGGTGTACTTTGCCAWAATATCTTCCACATTATTGCTTGGTATTTATAGTCAGGTATATTGCTTTCAATTTAAATATGTTTTCACTTGCAAATGTGTATTTATTTTTCCAATGATACAACAATATTTTACTTACAATTTTGTCATTTAAGAAAATTTCCTGAGTTTAAAAATGTTAGGGGGTAAATAAAATTTCCTTCGATTGTAGCGTGCTTAGTTCAGGTTTTACTGGAAGTCTGAGRAATTAATTTTGTTTGAAGCAACATATTATTTCCCTCTAATTTAGCTTGAGTTCCTTTGCATGCATCAGTTGATTTATGCTACTCAAACATAAAAACTCTAACTTGTTTTTGATGGAATGAATATGTTGGCTACTGTGCAGTGGCCTGCTACTTGCATTGTTTTAAATTGCTTTCCTAGCTGCAGGGCACGGTATCAGTGCCTTGTTATATTCCTGGCATTTCTTGAGTTCTCTGCTCTGAAGGATGGCTTACCCTGCACACTTTCACCAACTGCAGCCCCTCAGGGTGCCTGCCACCTTCTGAGCAGGAGCAGGGGTACTGCTGGCAGCAGGCAGGAGGATGGGAGCCAGGCTCTTGGGCAGGATTAAACCTGCTTTGGGAAGAATGTGGGGTGGGAAGCCCTTTCCCATTGCCCTTGCTGTGCTCGTGGCTTTGTGGTTGGAGACAGCATTGTGACAGGTCTGCTGTGAGTACACTTTTAGCAGGCAATTCATAACCACTTAGCCTTGAGGCAGAGGACAATATTTATTTGAACAGTTTCAGTTCAAGAGCGTCCTCTTTTGCCACATGCTGTAAATTTGAAAGGATATTTATGACTTCCTTTCCACGATGATCTTTACTGGTGCCCTCCACAGAGAGGGAGCACCAGGTATCACTTGGGAGCTCCCATTTGCAGGTTCAGCAGGATTTTTCCATTCAGGTTTCTAGAAAAGCCCTGAGGGTACCTTTCAGAGCCAACCTTCATGGCTTACACAGGCTGCGGGGAAAGCAGCGAATCGYTTCAAATGCCAGGAACCTCCGTCCTTGTGCTTTCTTAYTTTGAACTTCAGCATTAGGTTGGTTTTGCCCATTTTTTGCCTCTGAAGTAGGAAGAAGCAGAACACTGGAACAGGCTCSCCWGGGAAGAGGTRACAGCACCAAGCCTACCWGAGTCCAAGAAACATTTGGACAATGCTCTCAGRCACATGTTGGAATTTTTATGCAGGACMAGGAGTTGGACTYCAGTGATCCTCWCAGGTCCGTTCCAACTCAGGGTATTCTGTGATTCTAAGCACGGTGCTTCCTCTGTGCACTCTCCTGGTGTCTAACTGCTCTCAACTTGGGGCATTTCCTAAATTGTCTTTAGTTTCCTTGGGTCACTTGTGTCTGGATGTTTTGGAAAAAATATGATATGACTGAGGCACTATGATTTTAGACTATGCGAATATATTCTCTGGGTTGTTTTTGCTGTATTTTGTCAGACACTGTTGACACATTTTAGTTCTTCACACTGCTTCCTAGAATGTATCTGATCTTTGACCTTCATTTTCTCATACTCTTTTTTTTTGTAATCCAGACATCATCCTATACAGAGACCTTAGTCAGCTTTATAGTCAAGATACTATATAGCACAYTGAGGCTTTAATCTTATAATGAAGACAATCTATTTAGAATGTTTGAAATTTGTRGCATCTTGTGAAGATGTTTTAATATAGACTAATTTTGGAAAAGATTTAAAGACACTTGAATTGAAGAAATTTGAGAATACCTCCAACACATCAAAAGCATTCCTATTTTTATCAGGGAAAATTGTTTGCCAGGTCATGCAGCACGGTGCAGTGCCGAGCTCTCTTTTCTCAGGCACTGGGAATGTGTAACATATCTTTTCATTCTTTCTCACCTTTATAGCCTAAACAAGCATATTAATTTTGTCTACAGAAAGGAAAACCTCATTCTTCAGATATGTCCGAATTCTCTTGGCTGARGCAGGTATTGGGAATTTTGTTGTGTACAACTCTCATGTGTATTAKGTTAAAGACAGACATAACATAATTGGTTCCATTTGTTCAATTAATCATATCTCTGATGGTCAGAAATCTCCCTCCCTACTTCTTAACCCATTCCTCAAGCGTGTGTGAGAATTCATCACAGGAATAAAATGCTTTAGCAGTTTTGAATTCTATAGTTTAAAAAATGGCAGAGGCCACCAGTTTGAGAATTGAATTATGACRTACCATAAGTTGTGTGCAATTTAGAAAACTTTGAAAAAATTAAATTCTGTGTTCTAATGAAAYTGTAGGGAGAAAGTTATATAAATATATTGCATTTTGTTATTTGGCTACAAGCATTATACAAATGCTGACTCTTTACAGGTTTCATTTTATGACAAAACCTGCTGCTCTTAGCTCATGCTTGCTATCTGCCTTGGAAAATGTGAGTGAGGATGCTAAAGCAGTTGAGTGGAAATGTACTTATCAAGTCTCTTCTATGCCAGCAGAATCCTGATGAGACTGAATTTCTTGTATTTTTTTCAGTTAAACCTAGATTTGCAGTGGGCTGTTCCAGCTTCTGGGGATGCAGATTGGAGCAGAGGAACCTCTCTGKTGCTCCAGTGTACATGAGTGCAATGAAAAACCCCCTTTCAAAGCATGGGGTGTATTTTTTAAACTGTTTTAGGGAAACTTTCTGTCAGTCCTCGGGGAAAGAGCTCCCTGTCCCTAAAGGTAGCCTTTGAAGTTGGAAACAATGTTATATCCTAAAACCTATTGAGMTACAGAGCCCATGATAAAACTGACAGAACTGTAATTAATGCACTCCAAAAACTGAAGCAGCTTAATGTATTTCCTAGGAAATAACATGATGAAAATTTTCCTTCATGAAATTTATGGGGATTATGGCTACCAACACATACATGTAAATAAGATTTTGTACGGGATTTCTATCCTACTTTTCACAAAAACCCAGTAGTCTAGCATGTTTGAGATGCTGGGGGGAACAGATCATTCAGTAGCAAAGTCTAGAGAATTTTGCCAGAGTCCAGAATGAAGACAGAGAAGTTGAAAGGGTTGAAAAGACCTTCATTGTTTCCCCTCACCGACCAAAACTATATATCCTCAGAAGTAAATCTCTTTTGATAKGCAGTGATAATCTCTTCTTTGCCTTTTCCTGTAGTCTGTGATTAAAAKTATCAATAAATATCAGTATATTTAGGGTATGAAGGGAAGTCCCTCTAATTCCAGGGATGGAGCATATTGATAATGAATATCCCCTAAAATCTATAGTTCTATTAATGTATTTTTAATACAGTTGTATTGTTCTTTGAAGCAGTACAGGGAGGTAATAATGCATTTCACTGTTTCAACAAAATAAAATATTATCTTTTTCAATGTACTACCACAAAAGCTTGCCATATGAGAGTGGGTCTGAGAGAAAAAAAATCTGATCAGATATGCACTAATTCCCAATACTGATGTATTTTGATATTAAAATCCAGATAACCAGCATGTCAGTCAGTTGCTCAGGTGGCTTTTGTCTCCTGAAACACTCAGGAGAATTTTGAATGCATCAAATAGGGAGGGAAGTGAAAGACAAGTAGAGACAGAAGTGGGAGTTTAAGAAGGATAGATCTGCTGCTGGAAGCAGTTCATACAGTAAGATAGATGAAATGTCAGAAAGTCACTGGAACATGCTGTGTGCTGTAATCTTAAGTAGGCGATCTGTCTCTGAAGTTGAGCTTCAGCTGTACTATCTTGCCTTAAACTCCCTCCTCTTCATTATTCTCTAAACTCTGATTACTCAGAGTGCTTTTAAAGTCTTCTGATTTTAGTCTCTTTGAAAGGTAAATTTTCAGCAGGATTTTTTTCCTTGTAATATTCTTTCTGTTGCTTCTGTATGAAGCAGCTTCTAAATTCAAGCATTTTCAGGAAAAATGCCTACCCAAACAACAACCTGAGGCATTTGGGGCTACAGATCCTGGAGGAACCTGTTCTGTCAAGGYATATCAGGAGTCCAGGTGACTGACCTATGTTAGACCTCACCTCAGTTTGGACAAGTGGTTTTTCATGCTGCATGGCTGTCTTTTGAATTAAACAATATGGATCCAGGTTTAAAGACCAAGCCTAAATTTTTGTGAGAAATAGCACCTTCCGTTCTTGCGGAAATTCAGGAGGCAGTTGTTACATCTGATATTTATAAACAAATTCAACAAATTTGACTCATCTGAATCATCATKCAGTTTAATCTTCTTGGCACCAGTGACAGAGCTGTCACTCAAGTGTCAAAACAGAATTAGACTTGTCATGATGATGCCATGGAGATTATTGCAATTCCTATATTTGTTGCCTTTTTATTAGCTTCAGGCTAAATACGCCCACAGCTAATAAGGGTCAGCATAAGGTCTCTCAGCATAATGGTCTCTTGAGACCATTTCTCATATCCCCCAAAGAGGAATCCTAAATATAGGCTGTATGCATGAAAAGGTGAAAAAAATGAGTGGACTCAAATGAGAAACTGTTTTGAAGGGTTTTTGCCCTCCAGGCAAACAA